TAGTCGTAATTAGTCTCACGTAGATGTGCACCTAGCAGATCAATATCATTCCTTATTGTAATAAAATAAACATTTTTCTATGTACATATGAGGGGGGTCTATAATTTTGACAACCCCTGTACAACTTGTTACTGAGTAAATGAATTTTTGACTCAGCAAACTGAATTAATTACTGAAACTGTAACTTTAATACTGAGCAATTAATTAATTTACTGAGAAAACAATTAGTTAACTGAACAAACATAATAGTTACCGAACATTGGATTTTATACTGATAGCTTGATTTCTTTAGTGCAAATTTGCACATAATACTGAACAAATTTTACTGAACATTTACAAAAAGATACTGAACATATAATTTATTCCCTTTCATTTTTATTCGAAAGATCAAACTTTTCTCTAAAAATTGTTGGGACAGATTTCTAAAATATGCATCCGTTGTTCAGATATATGAAAATCTTGAAAAGAGCTCAAAACAGACTTCTTGATTCTCAGTTCAAATGACTACTACATTTCAACGAAAACGAATTTCAAAAAACTGTTCCAACAATTTGTAGATACAAGTTTTTTCTTCATTTTGAAACAATTCTCGGCATTATGCGTACTATTGTGCACCGGGAAAATTTTCCGAGCTAAAGGTCCAGTTTTTAGGAATGCATTCTGTATAACTCCTCAATTATGAGAATTGATTGGTTCAAATTTTTATCATATGCTAGTTATATCACTTTTTCTGTTTTCTGAAATTTTCATCGATATCCGTTGTACCGTTTAGAAGATAGGTTTCGGAGGGGGGTGGGGGGTCTCCCCTTAACTAAGCTGAATCTAACGATACAGTAGCTCATTAACAATCGAAATAAATCAGTCAGTTCTTCTACAATTCAAGCTTTTTAAGTTTTTCGTGACAAATAAAGAAGATAATAGTTAGAAAGAAACTTTCATGTTGTCGTTCTCTTCATGTATAGAAATTCTTTTTTGATCAGTTTAATTTAATAAACAGAACCACTATTATTTGCCAATCAAATATTATTATAATTTTCTCGAGCGTTTTCATATAGCTTATTTTTTTTGATCAAATAACGTTTAGATTATTACTTTCAGATAAATCAACACATTAAAATTTGGCTATTATAATGAGAGAAATCATGTTGCAATTGTGTACACAATTTTACTTGAAAACTGCTAGTTTCTTCTTATGGTTGTTTAATTCAATTTTTGAATTTATTTTATCAAAAGTATATTTGCAAAAAATCGTTTTTAATTGTACTTGGGAAGATCCACTTTTAGACATTGAAGCACTTGAATTAAGTGAAAAAGATAATTTAATGGCAATCACATCAGCTGGATGTAATATTTTAACTTATGTACTTCAAAAACCTAACCATATTTATGCGATTGATAGAAATCCATGTCAAAATGCTATTCTTGAACTTAAAATGGCTTGTATTAAAGAATTAGATTTTGCAACATACTGGGAAATTTGGGGACATGGTAAACTTCGAAGGTTTTCTCAAAACGTTTATCCACGTTTAAGAGTGCATCTTTCACAAGAAGCAAGAATCTTTTGGGATTCTCATAAACATTATTTTGATGGAACAAGCCTCCGAAACAGTTTTTATTGGCGAGGATGCTCTGGTCTATTGGGTTATATAGTATCTCGGTACATATGGTTGATTGGTATTTCAAAACATGTAGATAGTATATTTAATGCTGAAACTGTTAAAGAACAGAAAATGATTTATGAAACATATATTAAAAGAAAGTTCTGGACTCCTATTCTTATGAAATTTTTATGTTCTCCATATATTTTTTCACTTTTAAATGGAGTCCCATCGGCACAACAAAAAATAATGGACAAACCAATTGGAGATATGATTAAGAATGCGATAGACACCGTTTTTTCTGAGTTACCATTGAAAAATAATTATTTTTATCGTGTTTATTTTTATGGCAAATATACGAAAGAATGTTGTCCAGAATTTTTAAAAGAAGAAAATTTCAACAAGTTGAAAGATGGTTTAATTAATAGAATTTCAATTCATACCACAACAATTACAAATTTCTTGAAAGAACATCAGGAAAAAGATATTAGTAGATTCATTTTACTCGATCACATGGACTGGATGGCTGCAACACCAAATATTTTGGCTGAAGAATGGCAACAAATTCTGGATAATTCAACTGAAGATTGTCGTTATATTTGGAGAAGTGCTTTGTCCCACGCGATGTTTGTTGATAATACTTCGATAACATATAAGGAAAAAACAACCACAGTAAATCAATTAATAACATATAAACAAAGTTTAGCAACTAAATTACACAAAGTTGATAAAGTGCATACTTATGGTGCATTCTTTATTGCTCACCTTCATCATTGAATTTAACTTCTGATACAATTTTATATTTTTATTCATTTGATTACTGACGTCTTGACTGATGCCGAATTTTCCAATTTCGTCTCTAGCGTTGTGGACAACGGTTCCATTTTAAACTTTTTATGGAATATGATTGTTTATAAGTGCTGAAATACAGTACTGCCCAAAGTTATAAGACCAGGGTGTGCACATGGGTGAGGATGTGGGTGTGAGTGTGTTTGTAGCTCGTTTCTTCATCAACAACTACACCCACACCCAAATCACATCCTTAGAAGTCCTTTTCTCTAGTTATCACTTAAGCAATTGTTTAGCAGATGATTGTTTAGTTTTTAGTAATCTCATTTTCTGAAAATATTGATTAATCACTAGATTAAAAACAATT